GTGTGTGTGTGTGTGTGTGTGTGTGTGTGTGTGTGTGTGTGTGTGTGCATATGTAGCCCTCTCTCTGCTTTCTCTTCTCTGTCTCTTGTGGGTTTCTATGTCACTGTCTCTGCCTTTCTCTTTTGAGATTGATCTCTCTACCCCGCCTCCCATTCTCTCAGTCTCTCTCTGTCTGTCTCTCTGTTTCTCTCTTCATTGCTTTCTCCGGGGATCTCTCTGTCCCCTCTATTTGTGTGTGTCTCTCTCTCCCCTACTCTCTCTTGGGATTTCTCTGTCTCTGTTTCTCTGTTTCTCTGTCTTTCTCTCCCTTGTTCTCTCTTGGGAGATCTCTGTCTCTGTCTGTCTGTCTCTTTCTCTCTCTCTCCCTTGTTCTCTCTTGGGCTCTCTGTCTCTCTCTGGTTCCCTTTCCCTCTCTCTTGGGCTCTCTCCTCCTCCCCCCCTCTCCCCCTCTTTTTCCTCTCCCTGTTTTCCCCCCCCCCCCCCCCTCCCCCCCCCCCCCCCCCCCCCCCCACACAAGGAGAGCACTAGGATAATGAGGGCCCTTAATAATGCTGATACTGAGTTCCTCAATTAAGCATCACAACAACCCCACAAGGGAGGTGCTATTTTTATCCTCATTTTACAGTTGAGGAAACTGAAGCAGAGAGCAGTTCAATGACTTGCCCAAGGCCACACAGCTAGTAAATATCTGAGGTCAGATTTGAACTCAGGTCTTCCAGATTCCAGGCTCAATGATGTCTCCACTGCCCCACATAGCTGCTCCATGACACCAGCATCCGTAGGCTGTCTGGTGTGAAGAGAAGAAGCCTGCTGGGGTGGGGGTGGGGGATGGGAGCTATCTCCAAATATTTGAAGGGCTGTCATTTGGAAGAGGGGCCAGCCTTGTTCTGCTGGGCTGCACAGGCTAGAACCTGGGGGGGCGGGGAATTGCCGGACTCAAGTTCAGGTAAACCTTCCCCATCCTTAGGGCTGTCCCAGAATGGAATGGACCATCCTGAGAGATGGCAGCAGTGGATAGAACTCTGGACCTGAAGTCAGGAAGATCTGAGTTCAAATCCAGCCTCAGATACTTACTAGCTGCATGACCCTAGGCATGTCACTTAACTCTGTTTGCCTCAGTTTCTTCATCTGTAAAAAGAGCTGGAGGAGGAAATGGCAAAACCCCTCCAGTGTCTCTGCCAAGAAAACCCCAAATGGGGTCACAGAAAGTCAGACACAGTTGGAAACAACCGAACAACAACCCTGAGGGGTGGTGGCCTCCCCCTTGACCTGAGGGCTCAAGGCAGAGGCTTAATGACCGTTTGTCAGAGAAGTTACACAGAGCTGCACCAGGTCACCTCTGCTGCTCCTTCCCACACCATTCTCTCCTCACGCTTGTGACTCAGTCTCTCACTATCTCTCACTTCTGTACGTCTCTGGCAGAGTCACTTTTACTTGCCCCTCTTCTTTTGGTGTTGACTGTATCTCATTTGTCTTTGAGTTCAGCGAACGTTGGACTTCCTTTTGTTTGCCAGGCTGCAGGTATCTTTCCTTCTCCTACCCCTGTCTCTTCCTCTCCCCCCTTCCCTTGTCTCTCCCTCACAATCATCAGTCTCTCTTCTCTCCTGTAAATTGAACTAACACAGCTAACACAGGGGAGGGGAGGACTGGGCAGAGGGAACTCAACCCCAGCTCTCATCCTGGGAGCTAAGCTGGTCAGGAGGCTAGGGGGAGGAGGCCAGGATCTAGGATCTCCTCTCTTCATCCTCTCCCCTCACCAGGAAGGGGTCTGGAAAGAGGCTGGGGACACCTGGATCCCTTGGGGGAGGGAGAGATTAAAGGTGGGGGCAGAAGTCTAAGGCTGGTTGGAGATTCTATATGTGACCCTTTGCTCCCCTTACCTCCATCAGGGTCGCAGACCAACCTGAGAGAATCGGGGGACCTGAGGTCACAGGGTAAGTGTCTCTCCTTCCCCACCCCTCTCACTCCCCTTCCCTGCCTCTTCCGGAGACTCCCTAGGTGGCCCCTAGCCAGTCTCCCAGACCCTAAAATCAGCACACATCTCCCCCTGTAGGAGATGGTGCTAAGTGCCTCTGTCCTGGGCTTCAGCCTTCTTCTCTGTCCTTCCCCGGGACTCTGTTTCTTCATTTACCATCTTACTTTTGCCCTTCATTTCACTTTCTCCTCTGCATGCCCACTTCTCCCACTTTCCCCTTACTCTCCTCCCATGACTTCCACTTCTCCCACCTTCCCCTCACTTTCTCCTCCCATGACCTCCCACTTCTCCCACCTTCCCCTCCCTCTCTC